GCATCAAATTAAATGAGGACATGTCTTAACGGCCGGTATACATGGGAAATTGTTTTTTTTTAAAGTATGCAACATCCGGGGATATATGAGAACTCTCTTTCTCAAGCACAAAAGAAGACGTTGAAGGAAAATAATATCAAAGACCAAAATCAAAGGCTCTTCCAATCACCCAACATGTTGTATATGATACTATGCTTGAGAAGATTGCTCCGACAACAAGAGAGAAGGATGCATGGGGAACAATTGAAAAGGTTTTCAAAGGATTTGATAAGGTAAGAAAAGTTCATCTCAAAACCTTCGAGAAATAAAAATGAAAGAATCTGAATCAATCTCTAGTTATATCTCAAGAACGGATACATATGTGAATCAACTTAAAATAAATGCTGAAAGCATATATTATTTCTGAGTCATTGAAAATTCTTCAATCATTAGACTCAAAGTTTGACCATGTGATATCAGCTATTGAAGAGTATTATGGTATAGAGAATATGACCATTGATGAGCTAATAAGTAAGCTTGAAGCGCACGAAGGAAAGATTAAGAGAGAATAATATGAATCACTAGATCGAGCTCTACATGCAAACTCAACTTCAAGCAAGTAAAAGAAGTACATGGTGATACAAGATGTCAAAGTGAAAGAGGACGTTGATGAGGACAAGGCAAAGTTTGTGTTCGAGAATAAGGAGGATTTACAACTCCAAGCAGATGAGACACAAAACGCCTGGTAATCATGGAAGGATTAACCCAAGAACAAGATATGGTAAATTTCAAGTGAATTTTACAATTCTCACTAGTTTGACATTATTCCTACTAGTGTATAAATTTCAAAAAATGAAGATATTGTCAACTTTATGGGGAGATATGATCCAGAAGATTGCAAGCTACTTTTAGCATATAAAGTAGAAAACGGATTTAAGCACACTTGGTAATTCAGTACCGTCACAAGCAATCATATGTGAAAAAGAAGTGTTTTGTGGACCTCGATGCATCAGTAAGATAATGTAGATAATGGTATAGAACATGGATACTCTTAAGGAGATCTTGATGGAATTTATGGTAGACATTATATTTTATTTTTGTTGGCATCATCCTAACCATTAATTAAGGAGTGATTTAGTATAAATAGTGATGAGATCCCTCCTTAATTGAGAAGTTCAAGAGAAGTTCTAGAATAATATGGAGATGCCTATAACTCTCTTACATGCGGATGATTAGTCTACAAGAGTCCAATGAACTCGTGATCCTCAAAAAGGTCGGAGTTGAGTTTCCCTAATAAATAGGAGTGTTTTAGCTCATTACGGAGTATATATTAAGTAAAACTTGAGAAGTTGCATTTCATTTTTCGCTCATTTACCTCTATAGTGCGATTAACCAAAATATGAGATCTACCGCGTGGAATAGGTTAATATTTCTCCATTCACCGCAGATTTTAAAGAATGGCTTTCCCTCTGGGTTATAAGGTAAATCAAGATCTCTTTCATAGTGATTCACATCGCACCACCACCACCACTATACTATTACAAGTTTTATGAATGAAGTACAAACGTATTTGATAGGTTAAATATCCCACTTTTAGGAGCCATGGCTGACGAACAACGTCTCACATTTGCCCTCTTAGTTATCTAGACTGGTATGGCCATGAAGACTCTCTTTATTAAATCACTCTTCCATGATATTTTACTTATACTTCTCACCAATAAATTTTCTCGATATAATATATGTGCGCGCGCACTCACACATGGTGTGGTTACCGTTAGAAAAAGTGCATCATTGAACTAGAAAGGTGCATCTATAAATAGTTAACATGTATCGATAGTTGTATAAAATATGCATAAATGTTATGACACTTTTATATCAATATCCTTCAAAAAACATGTTTATATCAATATAAAATGTACATGTAATGTGAGCGATGCACTTTTAGTTTTTGAACTTTGAAGAGTTGAGTTTTGTTTATTTACAATTATGTTATAACCATGTTTTTTAAAACAAGTAATGATCTTGTCAATTCGTTTTCCAGATAAAAGACCTACTCCCTCCGTCCCGAAAAGGTTGGCCAAAATTGACTTTCACGTGGATTAATAAAGTAAAAACTGTGCGGTTGAAATTTGTGCAGAGGAAAGAAAATTAATTTTAGCCACATATTCTTTACTTTAAATGGAAATGGTAAATCTTTTTGGGACATCCAAAAAAGAAAATTTGGCCAACCTTTTCGGGACGGAGGAAGTATATTTTAAAATAGGAAACATCCATAGTATCTTCGAGTATTGTACCTTGTCTACGTGGAACAATTAGAATGTTTCACTCGAATAATTCAAACATAAATAAATGATGAAAATAATGAAGATCCAATGCATGGTAGTTATGACACATCCACTTATTATAGGAGTATCGTACCATTCACCATAAAATGTTACTCACTCTGTCTTGTTAATACTGTCTCATCATTCCTTCATTATGTTTTCATTAAAATTGTCTGGTACTCATATCTTATACTTGTTGTGTGATTTTAAATCATGAAACTAGAAAAAATGGCAGCTACTATCAAATTGAAGTCTTATGAATCCGCCCCAATTACCTTTAACTAAATGACCTAGGGGTCATTGATTGCCTTGAGAATTTAGTGGTCATTGGTGGGTGGTATAACTAGTGGCGGCAATTTTAAGGTCAGTGATGGTCATTGGGCAACGATAAATGAAGGTAGTGACTACACTTGCAATGAAGAATGTACTATAATTTAGTTATTAATTAATTACAAATAATATTTATGTTAGTGACTCCCGATTGCTTAAAAATGTTACGGAGTATGAAATAGTGACTATTAGAGTAATACGTAGTAGTTACTAGTGGCTATGAAGACTATACAAATATATATTCCGTACTTCTAGTAACTATGCAGTGATTATTTTTTTTTATCATCAAATCCAACTAATATATTAAATCAAAATAACGTTCGTCACATGATTGATAATACAATCAAGGACAAAGGAGTAAACAAAATGATAAAAAACCTTATGTCTGCCGTCCGCCCTCGAACCAGACTGAGAATCTATCACCTCTGTAGAAGCAATAACATTCGTTGATCCTGTAATGGGCATAACTGAGCCAATAACTGGCAAACCAGACTTCTATTTTTAAGAATTTCTCTGCTAGGAAAACAGAACACGACCAAAACAACATGCAATTCCACGAATTTTGGGGCTCTCCAAGGGGTGTTCTGCTGGCTTCGGACAGAAACCCTCCGAGGGGTGTTCTGTTGGGGTCTTCTGTCACGCATTTCTTCCGTTACAACAATTAATGCCCAACGTTCTTCTCTTTTAATGCTGCGTTAAATGGACAGTTTATGGACGATTCAATGCCCAACGGACTGGTCATTGATGTCCAACGTTCAGGTCCATTAACACCTCATTTAACACACAACAAATCCTCCTATAAATAGCTGGCAGGTGCTTTGCAACAAAGACATAACGCACAATACAATCCTCACGTATTCTTGAGCTAAAAACACCTACAGCTACTCTCAAAATTCCTTCTGTGTTCTTACTTGGTTCTCGTTCACTGGAACTCTTGTTTGTGTGCTCAAACACCAGTTCGTAGTCATCGTATCCTGGGAAACGATTGTTGCAACGCTCCTAGCACCGTGGGAGGCAACAAATACGTTTTAAGGAAATCGTGCGTAGCACGAGCTTTGACTAATTCTGCTTCATCTCCTTTCTTGTTTTTCTCTTGTCATTTTATTTAATTAATTTATTTTAATTAATTATCTTTATTTTCCGAAACACACCCAACATGATCTCCTCCTGGAGCCAATAACAAAGACATTCTCGACGCCGTACTCGCCTGAGTGAAACACCGCCGGACAACCAAGCTAGACGCTGCTTAAGGCGTCAATCCAAGAGAGAACTTTTTTAACTATGCAGTGACTATTGAATACTGATATTAAAAAATAAAGTGAATCAATAATTGCTCTTAAATTTCAGGTTGCGGTTACCTAAAATATTGAAGGTTTTAATGCTTATGAATTATAGCCTTCGGAATTCTACACATGGCAATCTAAATCCTTACTATTGAACCCACATAATTAATAAATAGTCACCTAATTGGAAAATTGTTTCTTAAATCACTTTTATGTCTTTTGGAATATTAATGGTAATATTTATAAAGAAAATTCCTTCAATCCCCATTGTTTTATTTGTTTTATTTGTATTTATCACTGTTCCAAAAATCGATCTAGTCAGATCGATTAATCGGATTTGACGGCCTAGTCGGCCATAACTGTAGAGGACTAATCGGCCTAGTCAACAAAAAAATCGGTCTAGTCAGCCGCTTAGGCGCTAGATGCCTCTCAATCGCTCGACTAGCGCCTAGCGAATTTTGGAACAATGGTATTTATCAATTTAACATTAATTAATGGAATAAGTTCATTTTCTTGGCAATCACACCACCTCCGATAAGACTATGAGTCTGTTTGATAATCTTTATTTTCACCTTATCATATACTCGTATTTCTTTTATGAAAGACACAATTTTTAACTTGACACATCATAGTGAAGAGTAATTACTTTTCTGATTGAATGGAATGAAATTATTAACAAACATCATTTTAACTATTCTTAATGTCTTAATTTTATTATACCCTTGAGGCCTTAATCACTATATGAGACATGGAGTTTATGATATTTTTTAATTGGATTGTTTTTAGTCATATATCAGACCAGACTACACTTAAATAAATCAGACCAATTCAAACCAGAAAAAATTAGACTTAACTTTTGTAATTATAAAATAGAGACCAGACATTTATCAGATTAGACCAGACTAATTTAGATCAGAACAAATCAAACTTAAACAGACTATACCAGATCAAAAAATTTCAATCCAAGTAAAAACATATTACAAGCTATCGGCCCTACCCTGCCGGGTGTCCAATCGTATTATTATTTGCATCAAGCAAAATTTCCAAATTAGACACGTCGGATAGGACAGGACAGTGGCAGTGTACAATAAGCCTACGTCGCCGTAGCTTTGCTGATATGCATGCGCTTCCGGATTATAATAATAATAAAATATATATATATTTATATATTTGTGCACTTCTTTTACATCGGATCTCTGTCTTCTCTTCAATTCAGAGTTCACAGTTCGGACACCTGCAATTGTATGTGTGGTCGTACGCGTGAATATCCAACTTGCATACGTGTTTTCAGTTTCTATTTTGAGATTGATTGTAGATTTTTTCTTCAAATGTCTTAATCATTGCTGCAGAAATCAATTTTGGAAGTTCTTACAAATAAGTACAATCCTGGTTAAATCCTTCTTCCATTTCATGCCAAGGGATTTATCGCTGTTTCTTCCTACCTTGTGTATATGCAGCCCAGGAACAAACCGTTTCAAAAAATGAAATAGACTGATTTTTAGTGTAATAGTGTATGGATATGCTTTAAATAGAAAATACTACCGTGTTCTGTGTTGTTCCAAGTGATCGATTTTTGAACCGATGATTATTTTTTATTATAATTCTGAGTGTTCGACGGACATGGCGGGGTTCCTACTCCGGCCTTAATTAACTTGATTGAGTGGGGTTATTGGTTGTTAAAGCTTGATTAGCAGTAGCAGAAGTGAAGGCAAATCAAAGTATGAGGAATTTCTGGGATCTGTTCATTGCGGCATCAATACCTGTCCTCAAAGTGCTGCTGGTGACGGGTTTAGGATCTGTTATTGCACTAGAACGTTTCGATTTGTTGGGAGAGGATGCAAGGAAGCATATGAACAATGTATGCCTGTTTCCTGTTTTGGTTTTTGCATCAATAATCAATTGTAATGCATGTTAAAACAACAGAACACACTAGAGTATTATTTATTGCTTCGTTTTAGATTGGATGAGCAAGCATTTGAACTTGGTTATTTATGCTTGCTATTCTGTTTGTGTTGTGGAGCAGATTGTGTTTTACGTGTTCAATCCTTGTTTGGTGTCCAGCAGCTTGGCAAATTCAATTACGTACACAAGCATGATAAAGATGTGAGTTCTTCCTTTTCTTTTTCCCGCAGCAACTTGTTTCTCAACTGTGTTTTCTAATCTATTGTTGCGCGCACTCTCTTCAGGTGGTTCATGCCTCTCAACATTTTCATCACATTTGTGATTGGTTCGATTCTCGGGGTTGTTGTCGTTCAGGTTACGAGAGCTCCCCAACATCTACGAGGGCTAATCGTGGGATGTTGTGCGGCTGGTGTGTTCTGTTCATTTTGTTTTACTCGTGCTTACATTTCTTATTGTGTAAAATTTGTTCAGTTCCACAGAAAGCTCCACTGTAATGAATTGCCTGGCCGTCTTTCGTGATCTTGCTATACAAAGATACTATTACTCTATTCAAGTCTCTATGGTGTGGCTACAAATTTCAGAAGGGTTTACACATGAGTTTTGGAAACAAGAAAAGAAATGGAGTCATGGCACGTTTTCAACATAAAACAGCGGTTCTTTAATCCATAATGCTTTTTAAAATGAAGCACTGACTATAACAATGCATTTTTATTATTTTTCATTTGTATACTCATCTAGTTCTCTCTCAGTTCTCTTTCTCTCTCACTCCCTTTTCTAAACGGAATTTGGTTAATCTTAGATTCTTAGTATTGATGGAGGTAAATATTTATACCTTCGCACTACAGCACTAATTATTAGACACACACACCTCTGCCTTGCACTCTCTTGGAGGATACCACCTAATTTGGGGGGCATTTAGAGAAGAGATTTCACTTTTCTGCCCTAAAACATTGAAAAGCTTATGATAAGATATATGAAACTTAATACTTTTATAGCTTCCCTTGTTCAAAACAAAGTCTTCTATTCATATGGTATAATAATGTAATTTTTTTCAGGATTTATGTACATGGTAATTTATTAGATTTCTTTCCTTACCTATGTGAACAGGAAACTTGGGCAACATGCTTATTATTATCATTCCGGCAGTTTGTAAAGAGAAAGGCAGCCCATTTGGAGATCCTGACATTTGTCATACAAATGGAATGGGCTATGCTTCACTTTCCATGGCGGTATGGATACATTTGTTTCTTTTGGGTTTGACACAAATACTAGTTTTTAGTGCAATGGGAGATAAGATTCGTACATCACTAATAATGAATCTAATTATAATGCCTATTTCTGAAGTAAACTATGAGCGTGAAGTATAATGCTTTGATAAGTAGAGGAGGAGATCAAATATATATTATCGTATTTTATTTCAAACATTGGATTCATTGGTGAGATGACTAAACCATTTACAGATTTTTCACGGGAAGTTCAATCTAATAATAATAATACCATGCTGCTTGAACTTCAGATCGGAGCAATTTATCTCTGGTCTTATGTGTACAATATCATCCGAATATCATCGAGCAGAAGTTCCAAGGAAATAGAAATTATTCACTCACCTCTCAGTAAATCTCACTCTCCATTAGAGCGTGGGAGCTCCACAGAACTCATACTTCCATCAAATGCCTGCATCACTGAAAAGGAGGATTTTTCAGAACAAAAGGTTCTGCTTTCCAGTTTTCACTAGAAGTTCATTTCAAGAAAGATGGAGTTAACTTAACATTACTTGTGATGAGATTAATATTCTTTCGTACAAATATGTCAGGCATCTTTTGGAACTAAAGCAAAGCAGTATCTTGAGATGCTTTCAAGGAAGATCAATCTGAAGAGCATATTAGCACCTTCAACCATTGGAGCTGTACACTTCTTTTTTCATGGCATTGTCAAACTTCAACAATGTTGCCCCCTACATTATTGGCATAACTGATCTGATCATTTCCTATGCAGATTGTTGGTTTCATTGTTGGTCTTACACCTGAAATCAGGAAATTGCTGATCGGTGATGCTGCTCCACTTCACGTGATCCAAGATACTGCCTTGTTGCTGGGGTAGAACAGAACTTTTCCTCGCCTGCTTATTTTAATCCATATTATTTTGATCCATATACACAATAATACACTAGAAATTTTTTTAGAAGGCAAGTGAATTTAAACTGTTTATTACACATATCTGGAGCAATAAGTGACTAATAGAAACCATCATATTGAAATTTTGGGCATATTCTAATAAGTGAATCCATTCCTCATTAGCCTTTGGGTTTTTGATACAAGTGCATCTCATGATAGAGTCGCCCACGAGCAAGGTGAAGGTGTGTTATTATAAATTTATATTCATTGTAGTTATTATTTTTATTAGTTTCTTATTTTAGTATCAATTTTCTATTATTATTAGTAGTTGCACTTTTCTATGAGTATAAGTTTCCTATTTTAGTGAATACTCTTAAGTCTTAATAGCAATATTGAAATAACTATAAATAGCGGTGCTATGTTCATTAGTAATAACATCAATACATTTATTTTTAATCCTTTGGGAGTCACGACTCTGGAGTCAGTCCGGCACCTCTTCTCTTGCCTAGAATGGAGAAGTTCTTCATCATTATTGATTTCAATATTCTTCTTTTCATCTCCCAACTACGCCTGCAACAGAGTCTCCATATAGATTATCAGAAAAGTGTACGGAATGTTTCCAAAAGCAAACATTATTTACAGATGAAGACAATGATTGTTAAGTACCATGGTGATTCTGGTTCTGAATTATATTAGTTTAGTTACACACATGTCGTCTAATATTTAGAATGTTATATTATGATACTGAGTTGTAATGATTTAATTCCACATCTGCAAATACTTGGTTGAAAGGCATACATTATGTTGCAGGGATGGTTCAATCCCAGCTGTAACACTCATAATGGGAGCCAACCTCTTAAAAGGTGGTGATACTTTCTGCCATCTGTGCTTTTCATAGAAAATACTACGTAATAAATAAAAAATAAGTACCCTTTTGTTATTTTCAGGTTTGAGAGGATCATCATCTATAGATAAGACCATTATTATTGGGATCATTGTTGCTCGATACATTGTCCTCCCTATAATCGGCATAGCCATTGTTAAAGGAGCCATCCATTTTGGCATAGTTGCCCATGATCCATTGTATCAATTTGTTCTGTATCTTCAATTTGCAGTTCCACCTGCCATGAACATTGGTATGTCATCATTCTTATTAAGAATTGAGGCTCAATGCTTAAAGATCAATAAGATAAGAGTTGCTAACTTGTGATAAATATTACTATATGTTGACCCCGTTTGGGGGCCTCTTTTTTCGGCTTATCAGTCAGTTTTTTCACCAAACACGTAACTTTTGATTTCGTGCACTGAATTGTGTAATAATAAGAAAAAGTAAGGTTGGAGTTACTTTTCTAGGTGTATTGGTTGAAGTTACTATAGAGGATAACTTCAGCTATTTTTTCATAATTTTTTTATTTTATTTATTAATAACAATTATTTTAAATATAATATTTTTATAAATCAACAGAATCAGTCAATCCAGTCACTTCAGTCAGAACTTGATAAATTTCAGCAGAATCAGCCAATTCAGCCAATTTCAGTGTTACCAAACGGGCTCGTTATGTACCTAATACATTATGAATGAGCTATGAACTAAATAAATTGAATCTAGTATAGCTAGTAGTTAAATGAGCTGTAAGTTAAACAGAGAATATGTAGTTGTTAGCATATCATAATGTTTATCACAAGTAAAAAAATCAAATATTGCTCTCTTGAGCTTCTTTCTTCCATGATTCATACTTTTTTGAAGTTTCTGAATAAGTGAATAGTATGTACGACTCCCAAGTTGATAATGAAGGTACACAAGCTATTTTCGATTCGCAGGCACCATGACTCAATTGTTTGGAGCCGGTGAAAGTGAATGCTCAGTAATTATGCTATGGGCTTATGGATTGGCTTCAGTCTCACTTACTCTGTGGTCTACATTCTATATGTGGTTGGTCTCCAGCTGATTCGATAAAACACATTTTTTAGTATCATTTGTTGCTTCAGTTAGCCTTTTGTACATTAAATAAAACAGGTAATGGGGATGAGACAGTGAGCGTGCTATCTCTCTCTTTCCTACTAGGAAAACTCTAGTTGTAGACAGAAAGGAGCTAGTGAGTAGGATTTGTTAATACTTGCTTGTTATTGCAGAAGGAAATGAGTCAAAATGCTCAGCCCACATCATAATCCTTCATAATTTCAGTTCTTCATGCCTTGAATAACAACAATAAACCTTCTTTTTTAAGCACATAAATAGCCAATGGCCCCTCAACATTCAAAAGAGTTCATGCTGGTATTCTTAACAAACTTGAAAATTTTAAAAAGGTTAAGCAGACTTTGTAAAACTATCAAACCCAATAGTCGAGCGGGAGCTATCCGGATAGCCCAATGTGAGTAATACAATTGGGCTAAGCCCACTATTAGACCTTTCCTACTATCATATAAGTATACCTAGACCAAGATTAGCATTATATGTGGTCCCGAAAGGTGTTGGGTGGCCCCACCCTCAAAGTGGGTCCCACGCTGAATTTACCTTACCAGTAAAAGTTAAACAACAAAAATTTATACGTACCTTTTCAATAACAAAGGTTCAAATTTAATACATCTAATACTAATGATAAAAGTGTCTGGGGACAGTGTTACAACAATAGCTTGAAATATTTTCTCAAACATTTACGGCAATACCAATAATCCATACTTTTACGTATTCTGCAAAAGAAATCCGTACTAGAAAAGTTTATAATAATAATAATACTTTTACGTTTATTTCGTTTGTTTTTAAATATAATGAAGCAAATATATATACTTCATGCGTTCCATAAAAGTTGCAACATTGGAATTTCTGCACTATTCACACACCTTACTTTGACTACGATTTTCTAATAATATATATAATAAAAATATATGATGTATAAAATATTAATAAATTTGTAATAATGTAAATTTCCAATATATTAACTTTTTTTAATGTTTACTAATACGTAAATAAATATAATTACAGTCAAAGTTGTGCGTTGGCAAACGTGAAAGTCAAACTGTTCCAACTTTTATGGAACGGAGGATAGTGTATATATATATATATATATATATATATATATATATATATATATATAGAGAGAGAGAGAGAGAGAGAGAGAGAGAGAGAGAGAGAGAGAGAGAGAGAGAGAGGAATGATCCTGTCCATCAGCTTTCTGTCCGAACGCCGCCTGAACACCGCCGTTTGGGGCGGTTCTCGGTGGATTTATTAGATGAATTTTTTGAGCATGTTCCTCATCAATTCTTGTTTATCCATACCAAATTTTAGCTCAAAATTCGATCGGGAAGACAGTCAAATAATTCGTTGAAGTTAACTGCTCCAAATTATAAATAGAAAAACGCAGTTAACTTCAACGAATTATTTGACTGCCTTCCCGATCAAATTTTGAGCTCAAATTTGGTATTGATAAACTAGACTTGATGAGGAATATGTTCAAAAACTTTTCTCAAAAAATTCCAACGAGAAGCGCACCAAATGGCGGTGTTCGAACGACATTCAGACAGAAAATTGCTAGACCTGAGAATTTCTCTCTCTCTCTCTCTCTCTCTATATATATATATATATATATATAAGCATTAACAATATTATATTTTTCCTTATACTTATTTCTTTTATGAATTAAATTCAATATTCATTTTTTCCTAATTAGAGAAATATTTGGAATACTGTTTTATCTTTTATTTCGAATCAATTCTTAATTTAGTTTTTTTAATTATAATATAGATTTAAAAGTATCTTTAGTAATACTAAGTTAAATATTGATACAAAATATATCACGATTATTTTTAACTTAGTCAAAAATTATAAATTGATATCTCCAATAATTTGAATGAATGAAATACTGAATAATCATAGAAAAATATATTTATATTCGTGTAAGGAATAATTGTAATTAGATTTTGATGATGCTATATTAATTAGGATTTTAGAATACCCCCTCTTTAGATTTATTGTATTAGAAATTTTCTTTGAAAAGTTTATTAGAATAGTCGATTGACAGAATACCTCCTGACAGAAGACCTTCTGATGGGCTTAATCCTGACAGAAGACCTTTGACTCTTTGTAGAGTCTTACTCAGACAGAAATCCTCTGACTCTCTGTTGGACATCACTACAACAGAAACCTTCTAGACTCTCTGTTAGTTCGCATCTGACAGAAGACCTAAAGGACCCTCTGATAGCTTATTCCAACAGAAGTGCTCAAGACCTTCTCTGAGAGACTTTCTGCTGAAGACACCAGAATGCCTGACACTTGGAGAATTTTTTTGAAACTACTTCAACCGGTGAAACCAACGGAAGATTCCTTCAACGGCTAGAAGACTTCAACGAAAAAGCTACAGTACGCGCATTAAATACACATTTAATGCACCCCGTATCCTGAAGAGTCAAAGCTGATGATTGGCCGAAGTTCCAAGATATTTCAGGATAACTGTATCCCAAAATAGCAACTCACCAACTTTCCTGGTCCTACTGGTCAAGTCAACTGTTCGCGCATTTAATGTATTGTCCTCCTCCTCCAACGGGAAGACAACCCAAGTATAAAAGATACTCTACGAAGAACAACCGAATAACTTTGCTACATCCTTTGCTCAACACTTGCTCAAACAAAACCTTCAAGGATTTAAAATAAAAAAGCCTCTCTGTGATTAAAACTTCATCATCTTCTACAAGAGAAGGCAGACGTTGGAAAGATTATTTACTCACATCTCCTTATTTCCGACTCAAGCAAAGTTCCATTTGTTCTTCAACACTTCAAGCTCCTCAACTACAAATCTTTTGTAACGAAGCTAGTTGGAAACCCCTGTTTCATCAAGAAATTCTTCTCTAACGAGAAGGACGTCCAAGTAACTGGAGTAGTGAAGTGGTGATACTTCCGGGAAGCTCAGCGAAAGGACCAGTCTTAAAGGAAGCCAGGAAGTGCATCCCAGGAGACATCTAGACTTGAAGAAGACGTGGAGAGCTTCTTAAGTGCTAGGACTAAAGCGTTGTAAACAGACGTTTTACAAGCTTAGTGAAACAGTGGATTAGAGGAACGAGTTGTTCCTTGAACCACTATAAAAATCCCTGGTGTCATTTACTTACTACTTTTATTTCCTGCACTTAGTTAGAACTGATTAACTCCATAGACTTGGTCTCTGTGTTCAGCAGAACGTGTCTTGAGAGTTAACAGAAGACCTACTGTCTTTGCTTCTCTGAGGCTGATCTGACAGAACCCCTACCAGAACTCCTTCCGCTGCCAGTCTGTTCTATCAACAGAACATGCTATTCTGTTAAATCTGGTACTTAGCTTGAAAAAGTTAAAAACCAGTACAATCTATTCACCCCCCTCTAGACTGTACCTAGTATAACCGAGACCAACAATTTGTATTTACTTTTGTTTGAACATACAAAATTTCATAAATTTGAATATAACCATATTTCTTCTATAATAATATAGTATCTGACCCTTTCAAATTATAAGAGATAAATATTTATAAAATTGACTATATTAAAAACAATTTTCATATACTTTGTGTTATTATATAATGTAATATTACTAAGATTACTTTAAAATTGTATTATAATAAATAACAAAAATTAATATAAAAATATTAATAAGGTTATACTCAAATATAATAGACCACTTTATGAGCATGCTTTCAAATAATAAATTAAATTTGTAGTAGAAATAAGATTGTATTCAAATATAATAGTGTGAATGCTTATATATATTTTGCTTCATTATTTTTAAAATTAAAAGAAATTAATAGAAAAGTTAAAACCATTAGTATCCGGTTTATTTTTGTGAAAAGGTTAATTGGTAGGGATTATTGTTTTGGACTTTTTCTGTATGCATCATTTCTGTAAAATGTGTCATAGTAACAATTATTGATTCTAATTTTGCCAACATTATTTAATGTTTGATATTAGATTGCTTTAATTTTTTAAAGTAGTCAAAAGGAGTGTATAGTGCACTAATAATTAAGAAATGTATCCCTTCCTCCACAATCTCACTCTGTAATCACCACGGTTTGGGCATTATTCGAAATGTGATATTTATAGAGTGAGATGGTGGAGGAAGAAATACATTATTTTAAATATCATTTTTTAACACTTCGTAACTATTATTATTCAACTGCTTTGAGCAAGTTGGGCAAGCTAGATATTTGGAAAAGGGGTTATAATAGGTTACTACAAGTAGTATGTTTTGGGTGTGGGAAATATTTATTTTCAACTCTTAAAAAGTTTTGACCGAACGGTTTGGTCAATTTTCAACCAATGATGGTATTTAGGATTCACTACCTCTCGACTTGAGATGTCCAGCGTATACATAGGAGGAGAACCAATTGTTTTCTCCAGAATACCGAGAAGGCTATGGGAAACCAAGAACGATTCAAATTGTGTGCGCCATGGAAGAGTCTTCAACCGCATCAAGACGCGTGGTAACAATATTGGTGACGTTGAACGTGGAGAACGTCAATTGAGATGCCAAGGTGGTCATGTAAGTAGCAAGAGGATTGAACCCTGGCAGACAGCCAACCTGCGAAGGCATGACTGGAAAAATCCCTGATAAACCGGTTAGGGTGCTGTCGGAGAAAATAGATGGCGAGGCAGACTGTGCAGGGACCACCAGAGGTGAAGGGAATTGAACTACGTCGGTGAAGGAGTCCACGTGAATAGCTCGGGCATATCGAAAAGTCCATAAGACGATGCGAGTGACTGCAAACGAGGTGCCCAGGATGAGAGAGGCGGCACGGAAAGGGACATCTATTGTATGGATGAAATGGGCGCCACGGACAACACCTCCGGGCTCCGGAAGAGGTTGCAACAGAGACAGAGAGAGACTGCTCTGTAAAGAGGACGACGCCATAGTAGAAGGCGGTGACCGAACGTCTGTCATCTTGGTGTTTGCCGAGGAAGAGGGTTCCACCCAGGGGCAGAGCCAGGACACTGGGCCGGTACAAAGAATATTTTTAGAAAAAAATTTACACGAAATTTTTTACCTTAAAAATTAAGTCATTTTTAAAATTTGGGGTGGGCCATGGCCTAGGTTGGCCCACCCCTAGCTCCGCCCATGGTTCCACCATACTAGGGTCGAGAACCACTAGCGACTGATACCATATGAGGAAATAGGGTTTTGGGATTAATGGCTTACCTAATTAGGTAGCCTTATGGTATATTTAGAGGCTCTTTGGAGCCTCCAAAATGGGCTGAAAGGCCTGAGAGTATAAAAA